CTGCCGCAGCCCCCGCACTTCTGGCGCCTGGGCGACGTGGAGGTCAACGCGGGCCAGAACGCGTCGTTCCAGTGCATGGCGGCGGGCAGGGCTGCCGAGGGCGATCGCTTCCTCCTGCAGGTGGCGGGCGGTGCCGGCCAGGGCGGGAGGGTAGCTGCTTCTGGGCCCTGGCTCACACCCCGGCCCCCCGCGCACTAACCCTCTCCCCCTCTCCCCTGGGGCCCCAATGTGCCGTCGCGGGTCCCATCACCCCAGGGCCCGCGTCGTTCCAGTGCATGGCGGCGGGCAGGGCTGCCGAGGGCGATCGCTTCCTCCTGCAGGTGGCGGGCGGTGCCGGCCAGGGCGGGAGGGTAGCTGCTTCTGGGCCCTGGCTCACACCCCGGCCCCCCGCGCACTAACCCTCTCCCCCTCTCCCCTGGGGCCCCAATGTGCCGTCGCGGGTCCCATCACCCCAGGGCCGGCTGGCTGCAGGAGCCCCGTTCCCCATTGCCGTTTCCCGCGGGGTCGGCGCGGCGGGGCAGTCGGGACCCCTCCCTGCGCGGCGCCCCTGACCGAGTGCCCCTCTTCCCCGCAGCGCCAGAGCGGGGCACTGGTGCCCGCGGCCAGCGTGCGGCCCGTCAGCCACCGCCGCGCCCCGCGGGGCAGGGCGTAGACCCCACCTCCGGGCAGGGCTGGCCAGGCCAGGGGCCAGGGACCAGGGGGTGGAAACAGGTCAAGGGAGGGCTGGGGAGGTGGGACTGGCTGTGTGGCCTCAAGGCTCCCCCGAGCTAGCCGTGGTCAGCCCGGGAGGCCGGGACACTGGCTAAGCGGAGTAGGGAGAGGGAGCGGGCAGGGATGAGGGCAGGTGGCGACTGGCGGACAGAGGGCAGGGCCAGCCTTTGGAGCCAGTGCCTTCAGGCCTGGAAGCTTAGTCGGACAGGAGACCAGGTCTGGTGGAGGGCCTGGAGGACGGAGGGCCCCTGGGATGTGAGTATGTGGGTGCAGGCCTAGGGCTCGGGACTCGGGCGTCACCTGGGCGGCTCCCCCATCTCCTCGCAGAGCCCCCGACCCCGATCGCGCCCCCGCAGCTGCTGCGCGCTGGCCCCACCTACCTCATCGTCCAGCTCAACACGCACTCGGTCCTCGGCGACGGCCCGATTATACGGAAGGAGATCGAGTACCGCATGGCACGCGGCCCCTGGGCGGAGGTGCACGCAGTCAGCCTGCAGACCTACAAGCTGTGGCACCTGGACCCCGACACAGAGTACGAGATCAGCGTGCTGCTCACGCGCCCTGGGGATGGCGGCACTGGCCGCCCTGGGCCAGCCCTCCTCAGCCGCACCAAATGTGCAGGTGGGCACCCCACAGCCGGCCCTTGTCCCCACTCCCTACTCTGAGTTTCGGTTCCTGAAGGGTTGGGGAGAGTGTGGCTAGGATCGTGCTGCCAGGCCGCTGGCCGCTGGTGTTTTCCTGCGCTCTTGTAGTAGCTACCTTGCCTGACACGAGCACATGCCCACGCGTGTGATGTCCAGTTTACAACGGCACCGCAAGGTGGGTACTCTTCCCATACGCATTTGACCCACGTGGTGACAGGCCCAGAGATGCTAAGTGACTGGCCCAAGGTCCCGCAGCTAGTAAGTAGCAGAACTGGGGCTGGAACCCTGGACTGGCTGGCCCCAGAATCCGTTCTTAGCTCTCCTTCTCTCTTCTAGATGAAATGAGCAGCAAAAGACACCTCATACTCACCGAGTTCTCTGGCCTGGGCACCCGATCCCAAGGCTTGTCCTGCCCAAGGATGAAGCGACTTTCGGGGATGGTGGCCTGAGGCCCTC